ATCATTTGTGGGTTTGAACCCAAATGCAAATGTAGAGTCATTTGATAACAGAAACAACCCATTGTGATCAATATGACTCATTTGAGAGGCTTCATACCCTGGAGTTATGATGCCAATTTGTTGAACAGAAGCAATACAGGGTTGGGAAAATGCTAGAAAAACTAGTATACATACTGGGCAAATCAAAAAAATGAAACCCAAGTTTCCCATAGCTAACTAAATATAGTACTTCTAAAGCTAAAAAAAAGACTCACAAATAAACTTTATAGTTTTATATCCCAGAAAGATGGACTTACCTAAATTGGAAAAATTGATCAGGAAAGCTTACAATCTTCTAGGACTGATATAATTTATAAAAATGAAACCTTTTAAAGCTTTATGTGTTTTAGAAAAGCAAGATGAAAACAACGCGTAAATATGATTTATATTACACCTAAGTTGGAAAAGTCGTGGGCAATGGTATACAAAACTTGACCAAATCCATCTTAACTATGTTAGAATAAAAACAAACTACCTTGATAAATTGGCTGAGGATAAAAACATTACAAATGATAAGATATGAATGGTAGTATTTCAATAGGTGCACTCACCTTAATTCAGAGAAGGTGGAAAATTAACAGCCCCCACAAAGTTTAAAGTCTTAATAAGTCGAACTATGAGATGGTACACCACCCTAGCCATACAAATATAAATGCTAGTAGCCGAAATAGAAAAACCCAGTCACCCACACCCCAACTTCTCAACTTCCCAAGGCACCAACACTCCATTTCCCATATTATATAATTATGAAATTATTAATCTTCAACTTTTTATTTGTTTATATTATCTCAAACTAATTGACACAAGTGGGACATCTACTGTGTATGGCAATTTCTGACACATTTGGTCAATTAAACTGATTGAAGAAGGTTCATACAATCATACGATTCATACCATTCATATAGCAGAATGGCTAATAACGCTATGATCCTTTGGATTTACTGTATATAAATATCTAGGGAAGGTTGGTTGGCCCGCCAATTTCAGCTACATTCACAGAAATTCATTGCTGCCTTGTAGTTAATGCAATGGAGGTGGGATCACTAAGTCTTTACTCTAGTATGTGAAAATAAACCATAAATAGTAGGAGCGAATTTTTCTTCCGAACGTTCTCAATTTAAAATTTTAAAGTGATGTTAACTGTAGAATGCCCCAATCGACAACTAGGATTACTAAGACTACTAGTAGTGATCTGAACATGTCTGAATTGCTATAATATTCAGCTATATCTACATCTTTATCTATATCAAGAATAACGTTATGTGTGATTATTATCAGGGAAAATAAGGGAGTGTTTTGAAGATTTAGACCTGAGAGTGGACTGCTTAGTTCATATGCCATTGAACCATTTGTACCTCCTGCAATTCTGCAAAGATGACCAAAATATTATAAAAATGTAGCTGTGTTAGACAGCTTAAGACGTGAAGAAATATATTAGTATAAAAACTGAAATCTATAGTTTAACACTAATTAAACAAACAGTCCATCAGACACCATAGTGCACACCTTAGAATTTACAAGCAACAAACTAGTTAAAATTATTGCTGTATCCATTGTGGTATACAATATTTGTATAATTGTCAGCACTATAATACCTACGGAATATCCTATACTAAAAGCTAAGTAGACTAATTTATATAAATTGTAAAATTATCATACTAACTATCACCCTTTGAGCCAAGTAGGACAATATCATTGATATCCCCTAAAGTGTAACGCAGTCTCCAAGATCAGCAGAACACCTACTACAATTGAGAAGAAAACCTAATACACTAAAGAAAAAGAAGTGGGGGGGGGGGGGGGAACCAAGTCTACAATTTATTTAACCTCTCTTCGTCCATGTCTCTTCCACTCCAAAATCCTAGCCTCTATTATTGGTCATTTCACAAGTTCATATTAGACTTTAAGGGTCTGTTCCTTTCAGCTTAATTTCAGTTTAGTTCAGCTCCAACCAGTTCAGTACAGTTTAGCTCCTAATTTCCTTCTCTCATAAAATATTCATTTCAGCTCTATTCAGTTCAGCTCCAATCACTTCATTTTAGTTCAGTTCGGCTCAGTTCAGTAAATGTGAACAGGCCCTAAGTAGTTTTTTCACAGAACTGTTCAACCTTCTACTAGAGTTCTTTACTTCCATCTCTTGATGGATTATATAATGTCTATCCTGTAGAAACTAGCTCTTATCATAGATTAGCCTATAATTTGGTGGAATAAGTTTATCAGCTGATTTTTTTTTTCATGGCTTTACGATGGGGTTGATATTATTGGTTCTTCTACAAATCTCTACCATAATTGGTCAATAGAAGACCATATGAGATATAGATTTCTAGACCATATGAAGAAGGCCCAAACAATTTAAGGCATATTTGAAGAGTTAGAAGTTAGTATACCATGTCAAGAATTATTTGTGTGGAACATAGATAAACATAAATCTGAGAAATGTTAGTAAAAAAAAGATGAATAACAGATATATATACATATAAACATGACTCGGTTAAGAAACACACTCCACATGGCAAGGGATAATATTTTCTTATTCGCCTTCAAGGAGGTATCACTCTCTCCTCAAACTTAAACTAAAATCTTGGCTTACATTGGCTTTTTGGCAGCTACATGCTCTTTATTGTTTAATCAAATGGCCTAATTGTATGACATATTATTCCATTATGTATGAACAAGAGAACAACCCAAAAAGTTGTCTAATTTACCCTTATGTATGAACAAACCTCACCTTAGGTTCGAATGAACATGTTTAACATTCGACCAAACTTTTTAGCTTCACCTCCTTCACTCAACTCACTTGATTTTAAGGCACAATCGATATTTTGGTTTAATCTGATTTCAATTGTAGATGCCATATGGACCATATTGTATAATAAATACAGTCAATCCACATCAACTCGTAGCGTAGTGCCATCACTAATTCAGTGAGCCTTCATTTCACAAAAACATGATCAAACCCAGAACAAGAGACCTCAAATTTTAACTTTAAGTCTTTAATGTATAAAGTATTCAACCATTGATTTACTTAAAAAATCTCCTTCAAAACCAAATTACAGCAAAAATGACATTAAAATTATTCATCAATTTCAATTAAAAGGTCACAACTCACAAGTCTCATAACAGTTGTCCATGTAAGTGATTTAACAACCTATTAGGCCAAAAACCAGTTGAATACATACTTTAGTTGCGCACAATATTAAAGATCGAAATTTTTCCAAGAATTCAACTCCAATACAATATAAATAAATAAACAAATAAACCAACCAAATAAATAATTAAAGAACGGAAATGAAATCAAGAAGATCCTGAATTAGAATTACCTACAATAGGGTTTTGGACGTAAGTTATGACGCTAAATTTGGACCGTTGAAGGCGGAGATTTGGCGGGGAATTTGAATATCCTGCCTGCCTGAATCGAAGCTCGGCCGCCGGTACTGATCGACCACTAATCGTCATCTTCGCAAAACGATTGAAAAAATAAAATTTGATATATATTTCAAATTTTTATTTGTTATGGACTTACGGGATCATGTGTTATTGTGTTAATTCAGAGATTAACTTGTATTTACTTGTTAATTATTGGTCTTCCCTAAAATAACAAAGTATTTTTTCTATAAGAAAAATACTTATATTGGGTTGGTATAAAATAGGTCTCACTAGTTTTGGGATGTCAATTTGTAAGACTCCAAAGATTTTACTTGTTGAAATTTTTTTGTGCTAGAAAGTCGATTTATACTCTGTATTAATAATCGAGTATCGTCTTGTCAAATAATAATAATAATAATAATAATAATAATAATAATTGAGTATCGTGATTGATCAATCATAAATAAATAAGGATCTTACTAATATGTTACATGTATCAATGAATATATACTGCATCACGTATTTATATATTTTGAACTTAAATGATTTTATTATTTCACGTATCATTATTTCAAACAAACAAAAAAAATTACTTAGGGTTCGTTTGACATTGCTGTGGTTTTCTGTTTTTTGGTTTTTTGTTTTCTAAAAGTATATGATATGTGTCCCATAATGAATCAAAAATTATATAAACTTATCAAAATTATGATAATTTTGAAAACTGACAACAGAAAAGTGGAAACACCTTTTTCTTGTTTCTTGTTTTTGGTTTTTGGTTTTCAAAAAAACAGAAAACTGAAAACCAAAACTGATACCAAACAAGCCCTTAATGTATGATTTGATATAGGGTCTGTTTTCATTAATTGAACTCAGCTGAACTGAACTGAATTGAGCTGAGTTGAACTGGACTGAGCTGAACTAAACTTCTCTTTATGGAAGGTGTGATTTCTTATGGTTCTCGTTCATGATTATTGATTCATACTTCATGAATGAGAACCATTAGAAATCCAAATCGTAGTTATGGCTGATCTCAACTATTTTTTTTTCCTTTTCTAATATACACTTCACTCGTGCAACATCCCTTCCCCAGTTCCTCCTAGCTTTTTTGAGGATTCTTAGCTAAATAAGAAGTAAGTAGTTCAAAGACGTAAGGCATAAGTTTGATTTTATCTCTAATTAAAGCTTAACATCCCTTCCCCAATTCCCCCTATCTCATTTTGTTCTATAATATAAAGTGTGTATAAGTGTAACAATAACAACCCCATTGGTCAAAATTCAAATGGTCAATTCGAGCAAAGGTGCAATGGTCAAACTTGTTACATAATTGAAGTTGAAAATGGTCAATTTTTATTGTTTCTTAACAAAGATAATGGGAAAAATTGGATACTATGTTAAACCAAGCACAAATCATCGATAATACTTTCTGTGTATTTTCATTAATCACAATGGCTTCAATACAAGTATATATAATACTAGGATAATAATACCCTAAATATTCTATCATATCTTTTCACAAGATATGTTTCCTAAAATATGCACAATAATATCATAACAATAATTTCCTAGATATACTAGAATATCCCCAATACCCCCCCTCAAGTTGGAGCATACGGATTATATATGCCCAACTTGCGGAGTAAAAAATCAAACTTGACTTTTCCTAAAGCCTTTGTGAAAATGTCAGCCAACTGAAGCGTCGTAGGCACATACGACGGCTTTATAAGACCTTCTTTAATTGCATCTCTGACAAAATGGCAGTCAGCTTCAATATGTTTCGTTCGCTCATGAAACACCGGATTTTTTGCAATATACAATGCCGACTGACTGTCACAATATAGGTGCATGCCACTGTCATGTCGTACACCTAAATCTCTTAAAAGTCTCCTCAACCACTTCAATTCACGAGAACAAGCAGACATAGATCTGTACTCTGCTTCGGCAGAGCTCATAGCAACCGTAGGTTGTTTCTTGGTCTTCCATGACACGGGAGAGAGACCAAGAAACACGAACCCACCAGTCAACGAACGCCGAGACAATGGGCAACTCGCCCAATCCGAATCACACCATCCTTCCAACTGTAGAGCACTATCAGACCTCAGCAGGATCCCCTGACCCGGACTCTTCTTCAGATATCTCACAACTCGCAAGGCAACATCCCAGTGCTCTACCCTCAGACTCTGCTTAAACTGAGACAAAATATGCACAGAGTAGGCCAAGTCTGGCCTAGTGACAGCTAAATAGATTAAACGTCCTATAAGACGTCTATACTTCTCTACATCACCCAATAAATCCCCATTTGCCAGAGCTAACCTGTGGTTCTGCTCCATGGGAAAATCTGTTGGTTTTGCGTCAAGCAACCCTGTCTCTGTAATAATGTCTAAGGCATATTTTCTCTGGCACATGAAAATACCCTACTTGCTATGGGCTATCTCTATCCCCAAAAAATATTTCAAAACACCCAAGTCTTTCATCTTGAAGCAATTCCCTAAATATGTTTTGAATGATAACAAAGCAGATTTATCATTCCCTGCAACAATCAAATCGTCAACATAAATAAGCACGTTAAGTTGCATTTCCCCCTTATCAGAGTAAAAAGGGAATAATCATAATATGACTGTTTAAAGCCATATTTCTTCAAAGCTGTTGTCAGTTTTGCAAACCAACACCGAGGAGCTTGCTTCAAGCCGTACAACGACTTCTTCATTCTGAATACTTTTCCGGAATTATTTTTGTCAAAACCAGGTGGAATTCGCATGTACACCTCTTCCTCCAAGTCACCGTGTAAAAAGGCATTATGAACGTCCATTTGATGAACTTCCCAATTCTTCACTGCTGCAACCGCAAGAAATGTTCTAACAGTCACCATTTTTGCCATGGGAGCAAATGTCTCGTTGTAATCTAGACCTTCAACTTTATGGTTGCCAAATATCACAAGTCTAGCCTTCAATCTTACGAGATTCCCATGCTCGTCGTACTTCTCTTTGTAGACCTATTTACTCCCAAGTGCCTTTTTACCACGAGGTAAATCTTCCAAAACCCATGTGCCTTGCTCTTCAAGTGCTCGAATCTCATCGGCCATCGCCTTCCTCCAACCGTCATGCTTCATAGCTTCTTTAAAAAAATTCGGCTCATTGCCACCTGTAATTGCTGCAATGTATATTCTATGTTTCACAGAAAACCGGTGAGAATCAACAAAATGTGTTATGGGATAAACAGTACCTGAGGAAGATGTCGCAGGTGAACGATGAGGTGGAGATGGACTTTTATTCCGAATGGTGTGTGTCACAAAATCACGGTATTTGCTCGACTTGAATTTTTGTCGCTTGCCTTTACCCATATTTTCTGTATTTTCAGCATGCTCGAGAATCTCAAGATCACTCGCACTCGTACCCTCCGGAGCTGCTGCCTTCTCGTTGCCATGAGGGTCGACCCCAGCTGCCGCTGGAATTCCAGCAGCCTCGGCAGTGCTGGGCTCCTCGCACCCAGCTGCCGCTGGGATCCCAGCGCCCTGGGCAGCCTCGGCAGACCCTGCCACAGGCTGGCTGCGGTGCTGCTGCTGCTGCCGCAAGCGACCTGTGGCCTCATCTGCCCGGGGCTGCTCATCATGCTCCTCACACACGCTGTCCACATCACTGCCCCCTGCACTATCAATTCCCACAAACTCCGAAGCTTGCACATGAGTATAGCCTCGGGTATTGTCAAGAGTAAGATTAGACCACGGAAATTCACCCTCAACAAATTGCACATCACGTCAGACAAAACTCTCCTTAGTCTCCAAATCATACACCTTCCAACCTTTCTTCCCAAACGGATATCCCAAGAATACACACCTTCTACTCCTACTAGCAAACTTGTCACCCTTGCTTTGTTGATTGTGAGCATAACACAAACACCCAAATACTTTAATGGAGTCATATAAAGGTTGTTTACCAAACAAGATCTCAAACGGGGTTTTGTAATCAAGCAATCTAGAGGGAGTTCTATTAATCAAATAACATGCTGCTTGCACACATTCCCCCCAAAATTTTCGAGGTAAATTAGCTTGAAACCGCAAGGCACGAGCTACATTAAGAATATGTTGATGTTTCCGTTCAACACGCCCATTTTGTTGAGGCGTACCCACACAAGAAGTCTCAAATATGATCCCATTAGACAAAAAATAATTTTTCAAGGAGCTAAACTCTGTGCCATTATCACTACGGACCACTTTAATTTCACAATCAAATTGACGCTTTACCAAAGCAACAAAATTGAGAAACATGTATTCAACCTCAGTTTTATTCCGTATTAAATATGTCCACACACCTCTTGAAAAATCATCAACTATAGTTAAAAAACAATGAGAGCCACATGGTATCAAGAGCCTAGTTAAGGTCTATTTTTTTTTTCTTTTGTACGTTTAATTTTCATAATTAACGCACGATTATTTTTTTGAGAGTTTGTGAGAATATCTTCTCGTTCAATTTTTTTTTGCACTTTAATTGAGTCGTGAGTGATGGCGGGTGTCTCCGGTGCTGGCGGCTCTGGTGGCGATGGTGGTGGAAAAATTAAGGTGGACATGGCTTATCACCTAGGTTCAAGTGATGGACCCGGGAACATTATTACTCCAGTTCAACTTCGGGGTGAGAATTATGATGAGTGGGCGAGGGCTATTCGAACCTCATTGAAGGCTAAGCGCAAATATGGTTTTGTTGATGGAAGTATCAAGAAAGACAGTGATAAACTGGACGACTGGGAGGCTATTCATTCGATGTTGGTCTCGTGGATTACAAATACGTTGGACCCTTCGGTAAGGGCAACGATTGGGGAGTATGACGATGCTCATCTCTTGTGGAACAATTTGAAAAGCCTCTTTTGTGTGGTGAGTGGCACTCGAATTTGTCAGTTGAAGATGTCCTTGGGTGACTGCAAGCAAGGAAAGACTGACTCGGTGGCTGCGTATTTTGGCAGAATTGCAAAGATTTGGGATGAATTACACACGTATATTACCGTACCTTCTTGTTCATGTGGTGCGTGTACGTGTAATATTGTGGCTCAAGTTGAGAAATTAAGGCAGGAAGACTTCCTTCATCAGTTTTTAATTGGGTTAGATGACCCTTATGGCTTGATTAGGGGTCAATTGTTGGCTCGGGACCCGTTACCGTCAGTTGATAAGGCGTATCAACAAGTTATTCAAGCCGAGCGCTTAAGAGGGGGTGAGGTTCGTGAGAGTCTAGTGGCTTTCAAACTTCAACATGACACCACTGCTAAACCGCAACGCTCAACAAGTGGCTCCGATAAATTGTGCAACCATTGCAATCGAGCAAGACATGATGAGACGGACTGTTATCAGCTCAATGGCTATCCACCTTGGTGGGGAGACCGTCCTCTTGGAGGTAGGGGTCGGGGTCGTGGTGACTCGGCCTCTGGCAGAGGGGGAGGCAGAGCAGGGGGTCGAGGAGCTGCTGGCCAGCAGGTGCGCGCCAACAAGACAGTTGGGCAGTCGTCCTCCAACTCCACACAAGGCGGCGGTGCTACGGCTAACGACGGGGCTGCTCTTGCGGGTGTTTCTTCTACCCAAATTCAGCAACTTATTGACCATTTGAACAGTATGAAACCAAAATTGCAGGGTAAGGATGAATTAGGTTGGATCGTTGATACCGGTGCATCCAACCATGTGACTTGTGACTTGACCTTGATGACGAATGTGGTTAATGTGCAACATTGTCCGGTTGGTCTTCCGGATGGGAAGAGTGCTTATGCATCTAAGATTGGCACGGTTATTTTACAAGGGGGATTGAAAATTAATAATGTTTTATTTGTGCCCCAATTGAATTGCAATCTGATTTCTGCAACTCAATTATGTGATGAATTGAATTGCACTTTGCAATTTACTAACAAAATTTGTGTTATACAGGACCTCATGACGAGGAAGGTGATTGGAGCGGGTGAACGCGTGGATGGACTTTATTATTTTCGTGGTGTTCCTGAGGTGAAGGCTTTGAAGATAGATGGTGTTCAGTCGACAGAGTTGTGGCATCAACGAATGGGACATCCGTCGGAAAAAGTATTGCAACATCTTCCGGTTGTGAGTAGTTCTACTAGAAGTTCTAAAAATAAATCTTGTGATGTATGCCCTAGAGCAAAACAACATAGGAGTAGTTTTCCCATTAGCAATAATAAAGCTAGTCGTATTTTTGAACTTATTCATATTGATTTATGGGGTCCTTACAAGACTCAATCGACTTGTGGCTCTGATACCATGTTAAACCAAGCACAAATCATCGATAATACTTTCTGTGTATTTTCATTAATCACAATGGCTTCAATACAAGTATATATAATACTAGGATAATAATACCCTAAATATTCTATCATATCTTTTCACAAGATATGTTTCCTAAAATATGCACAATAACATCATAACAATAATATCCTAGATATACTGGAATATCCCCAATATACTATAGTGGTGCACTCTCTTTAGACTTTGTTACAGATTGTGATTTGGGTTTTGCTTCGTTAGACTTGTGTTTTTTTGGTTGATTGAGTGGACTAAGTAGTGCGATAGTAGTTGGACAGTTATATAGCAGATTAGCCTCCCATTTGCATGAGAATTCAATCATGTTAAAACTCTTGTTTAGTCAATCAAATTGCATATTCCGAGTATTTAAATAATGGATCATATTTCATGTTTGATTTAATGTCATTTTTGAAGAATTGAGTAAAATACTACTTGTACAATTATTTTTCATTATACTTTGCAGTTTGCACTAAGAAATGTGTTTTGATCATGTCACAAGTTAAGAAGTTGTCTATTTTGCAGATAGTTTAAAAAAAAAAAAAAAAATACTACTATATGACTTACTTTGTAAAATATTTCGTACTCCATATTACTTAAGGGTGATGAAATCAATAATCACAATACAATAAATAACCATGTAGATTCAAAAAATAAATAAAAATTAGCATATGATATGTCAGACAAGTCAGAACAGCAAAGACTCATTTATGCTTGGATGATTGATCCTATTATGTGGTAACACCAGGATATACAGTAGTTTTTCTGTTGCTTTAATTAAATACTCTATTAAGTTGACATTTGTTCCATTAATTAGTAATTTTATAATTCTCCATAATAATCCTAAGTACAAGGTTTGGTTTCTTGGGATAATACATAGGAAGAAAATCAAATCTGGACAATAATGACAAGTTTTATGTAACAAACTATATATTCTTCATACCTAATCTATGTCACAAACTCACAAACATAGTGTTTCATACAAGAAGATATCATAACATTGTGTAACAAAACTTTCAATGACCTCTAACTAAATTAAACTTGTATGTACAAGATGATACAAATGAAATATATTCCTGTATAATGTATAGGCATCAACTATCTTGGCCCTGAGAGCCGGACAGCGGACTGGTAGGCTTCGCTGTTGCAATCTGATGGCCCTGATGAACTCCCAGTCGCGGTACCCTCATTGCTAGATAACTTAAAGAAGTTAGAAAATAGCCTAGCACCCGTCAAGGAAGACGTTGGGGGCATAGGAACAAAAGAGATGCCTTCGAGCATTTGGACAACTTTAGTCATAGGGGGTCTCATTGACATGTCTTCTTGTATGCACCATAATGCAACCTTAATCGCGGTCTTCACACTCTCTTCATTAGGGCCGTATTGTAGGCCTGAATCAAGGATTTCTATTAGCTTCCCTTCCTCCATCATCTTGAATGCATAGGCCGGAAAATGAGATTTCTCAGAGGGAAGTGAAGGATCATAGCTTTTCCTGCCTCCAATGATCTCAAGCAATACCATTCCGTAGCTGTACACATCACTCTTCTCTGATATTGCGTAGTTTGTTATCCATTCAGGTGCAAGATATCCCCTTGTGCCTCGAAGTGTGGTAAAAACATGACTTTGCTCCCTTGTCATCAGCTTGGCTAACCCGAAATCTGACACTTTTGCCTCAAAATGTTCATCAAGAAGAACATTCTCTGGCTTTATGTCACAATGGACAATTTTCACCTCACAGTCCTCATGAAGATATGCTAGTCCCTTGGCAGTACCCACCGCGATATTGAACCTTGTTGGCCAATCCAACAAACAATCATTATCCTTATTTCTCTTAAAAATCCATTTGTCTAAAGAATTATTTGCCATGAACTCATAGGCTAAAAGCCGGTGGCTCCCCTCAGTACAAAACCCCTTCAGTCTGACCAGATGATTGTGGTGAATGCTGCCTATGATGCTAACTTCAGCTCGAAACTCCTTTTTCCCCTGACCGACCCCTTCAAGTTTCTTCACAGCAAGAGGAGTTCCATCAGGAAGCTTCCCTCTGTAAACTGATCCAAATCCTCCTTGCCCGAGCTTCACAGAGAAGTTGTTGGTGGCATCCTGCAGAGACTGGTAGCTAAATCTGACCGGCATCCCTGCTAACGACTCAAGAAAATTGTCCTCTTCGGAGAGTTCCTGAGGACTACCCGGCACTTCCTTCTTTTTCGTGTAATACCTGTATCCTACATAAACCATACTGACTACTATCAGTGCTGTCAGGATAACTATGGTGATCACAACAGGCAAGTGCTTACTACCGCCTCCACCTTCCCCTTCTTCAACACTTTCATCCATAGTAGCTTTCACAAAGACAGAGTATTTGGATGTAGGATCAGAGGTAAAACTTCCAATCCTATCAAACATATAGCAACTGCTCGAGCTGTTATCAAAGAACAAACCTAGGCACGAGCAATTACCATTACAAGAGGCCTTGCAGCCATCCAAATCAGTTTTCATGGATGGCTGAGTAAACCCAAGAGCAAAGTAGCTAAGCTCATCCCCGGGATTAACAAGCTGAACACTAACACTCGAGTTACCACATGGATCAGAGATGCCGGTTGTACAAGACCGTGAGACTAGTCCTGCAGGACACTGGCACCTGTTACTAGAACAAGCATTATATGCATCACAAGGCTCGGGTGTTTGACATAGATCACTCGGTATTTTCACCTGAGAAGCCGCCTTTGAAGGACCATTTCCAATGCTTAGGAAGTCCAAAAACCCATCACTCCCCAACACTGCAATCCAAGTAGAATTCCTAGCATTGGAATTAGTAGAAGATATCACCAATTGCCATAACAAAGACTTGCTTGCATCATAAAACTTCCATGAATTCGACTCAATCCTCGCAGTCTTAATCCCCCCACCATCCTTATTAATGATCTTCCTAGTATCCTGTTTCATAGACCAATAAGTCTGGAATGTTTCATACCCAGCAGAAAGAATCATATCACCAGACTTAATCTCAAGCACATATGACAAGTTACCCTTATTAGGATTACTTGAAAGTTTCATCCCTTCGACGAAATCCTGATTTGAAAGAAGGGTATCAGTAGGATTCTTAAAACTCTCCCACACTATAGTACTATTATCACTCCCATACAACACCAAATTCCCAGTATCCTGCAATTCAATCACAGAAACCGGTTTTCGCCCTGTATTCGGCTTCCATACCGCCTTTCCTCCACTTTGGAGGGACACACTACCATCACTATCAAACACAAAACTATCAGAATTCCCAACTGGGAAAACTCTATTAGCAGTCCACACAATTGTGGAACTTTCTTGGTGAAAAATGACTAACAAAAACAATGTTACATCATTAGTTGGTTTAAACCCAAATGCAAAAGTTGTGTCATTTGATAACAGAAATAACCCATTATTATCAATAAAACCCATTTGAGATGCTTCAAACCCTGGAAATATTTTGGTATTTCTTTGAATACTACCAATACAAGATTGAGATAATGCAAGTTGAATGAGCAAAAGTAGTGGGAATTTGAAGAGAAGAAAACCCCAGTTTCCCATTTTTAGCAAACAATTTGCACAAACTTCTAGAATTTTGCACTAAAATAATTATCAGAAATATAGTCACTTCAAAAACTGAGAAAAAAAATCAGGTAATCTCAGAATCATTTTGGACTAATCAAATACTTTGTATGTGCTTAAATTATACTATGAACAAAACAAAAATACTCAAAATTTGTAAAATTTGCATGAACCAAATTTTTTTAAAGGGTGTTCTGAATTAAAGCAAATATGAAAGAAAACAAACCCAGAAAATAGAATTTTGGATTGTGAATAGAAGTTAGAGGAATAATAGAAAAAATACCTCATCTTCTGGCATAGCTAGTAAATGGGTCACCTTCCTTTTTCATTAATAAGATGAAATACACAATTATATTTATAGACTATACTCTGTTTCCTCTGTTTCTATTAAAAAGAAAGATCTGAGTTGGGTTTTTTTTTTTAAAAAAAAAAAAAAAAAAAAAATTGCAACAGAGAATTTCTGTATTATTATGAAGATGACATATGCATAATTTGGATTATAATACATAGTGTAATATATTACTTAATTTTAGGATAATGATATAGTATAAAGTGCTTGATAACTTTAGGAAATGGGTAAGCAAGATTTTCAATGAGGTTTGATGAGAGTAGATAGGAGTTCATCTGGAAGAGTAAATTGTGGGAAGGAAGAAGAAATTAAAGAAAAGTGGGTGATTTAATTAATGAGAAAGTTGGACTTGTTTTGCAACCAACTTTTATGCTTTACACACCCTATTACGCAGGCTTATTTGCCTATTTTCGTCCAAAGTATTGAATTCTCTTATCCGATAATCAATTAGTAGTTTTTGGTACTTGGTGTAATGGTATAGATTTATTTGTGGGATCAAACTTATTCGGGAGTTGGGAACATTTTGAGAGCGATGACTCTTACTATTTCCTCAATTCTTAATCTATAAAGGATTAAGTACTAAAAAGATCAAATTTTTACATCGAGATTCTTGTTTAGCACAATTAAGATTTTGGTCTAAGGTGTACAATGACTCAATGACATTGTAGTCAAAGAACACAAATACACTACACCCATGTAAAAGAACATGGCATTATGATAAAAGAACAACACATGTGTTGTGATTTTATTCGTAGCTATAATAAAAATTGAAACTATACTCGTACTTATCATGTTCATTGTTCATTTGTCATAATGACATGTTCATTTTCGTGCACACCACATAGGGTAACATATTCTGTAGTTCACAGTGAGCATTATTGTGCACTCTTGTTCTAGTCCATAATCTACTAATTGCTTGTTTAGTAGGACACTTAAGTTATTACACTACCAAAATAATAATAATAGTATAATAATACAAGTAGTAATAACAATTGGGTTTCTTTTGAATATTGGAAGAGACGGAAGATTTTGTTTCATTTTAATTTGCTTGTTTGATTAAAATCACAACTACTCTTTTGTTATTTACTGGTAGCTACTAGCTAGAAGACATTTATTCTAGAAGACATTTATTTATTCGTTTGTCTACGTAGCTTGTAGTTCCAAACTTCCAACATTACTGCGGTGCTAAAGCCTAGAGGTATACCAACGTTTGCAACGTACCATGAGTCACAACACAAATTATATAAGTTTGACGCATGATCCTATCATCAAAGACCTCGATAATCTTAAATTCAAAATATAGTTGCTAGACCATAAGAAACCATTTGTACGGATACTCTTATTTTATTTTAATTTTTTGATGTAATATCGGAATTACTACTCATATTATTGACCAAATTAGATATATTAATGTACGAAATAACAACTAATTTTGACTTAGGGCCTGTTCTCATACGTTGAAATTCAGTTTAGTTCAGTTCAGTTCAGCTCTTAATTTCCTTCTCTTATAAAATATTCATTTCAGTTCAGCTGAGTTCAGTAAATGAGAACAGGCCCTTAAGATGTAGGTATTTTGAGTCTCTTGATCAGGAAATAGAGATTTCATACATAACCTAAAAAACTTCAATATATAATTCCCCATCGCTATAGTACTTGATCAGCAAGAGATTGAACATATTAATTTGGTGAGATTTTAACCTAAAATCGTCAATTAGTGTTACAAAGTACCAGTAATCCACAAATGATAATTATAATGTGCAATCACTAATTTTGGTTTACTTTGATATGAACGCAGCAAATACTACTCAGATTAGCAGTTAGACACTTCTAGGAATATTGGTAGAAATACAGATAATTAAATGATAATGCAACAATATTATTATGTATCCCAAAATATCTTTGGTAGTGCATGCATACGCCACGTTGCATTCTGCATGGAGCATTACCAAATTTTAATCGCTTTGACAATGACCACGAACCCCAAATCTTTTTATTCGATTGAACATTTGAAGTCATTGACATTATGAATTTATGATATGACATTTCTTAAATGTTTAAATCAAATTATCCTGTCAAAAAAAAAAAAAACAAAACAAAACAAAACAAATTATAAAAATAATATCTCAAATCATGTCATACAAAATTACAATTCAGATTAGAACAAATAAAGTGCATATGTAAAAATATAGCTGGCTAAAACATCATAAATAAAATAAAACAATAATTAATGTCATAGTAAACCAGAAAAAATAATTTGACATTAAGTATTTTTTTTTTTTACAGATTAATAATAATTGTGTGCTCCGCTTTTTATAAATGTCCACTGAGTTAATTAAGTACTCCGTAATTAAATAGTCAAAGTTATATCTCAAGCGCAAGGATGGCAACTATCTAGAAATGAAAGTGGCAATGCAATCAATTTGCAGTAAGTTAGACCTAGGCGACGACTAGAATAGAATGTAATCCACCGGCCCTAAAATAGAATAAGAAGGTCCCAAAATCACAACTAATATCATGTTTTTAATCAACAAATCAAATACCATGCATACGAGTTAAGGGTCACGTTATATGGTCCAACCTAATTGATTGATAATTTGATAGTGATATTCCTAATAATATGTGTATACACCATTTCAACTATGGCCAGCTCTTGTAGGGCTGCTTCTTGTCGTTTCAACTTTCAACCCCTTCTATCACCTTGCTTCGTACGTCAATGCATGTCCATCCAGTGTATCATAATTAGGCCATAAAGTACGAGTATGAGATTACTATTACAAAAAGATCAGATGAAAAGAGCAGATTTAGAAAATAATATATAGTCTTTTTATCGATTTCACAATGAACGATAATCGGTAATCACCCCCTTATTGTGGGCTTGTTCGGTAAAATGTAACTATAAAGGTAATTGTTAGTTGTGATATTAGCTGTTATCTATCAACTAGCTGTTAGTTGTGAGAATAAATAATTAAGTATGAGTGTTTGGTAAACTAGTTATTAGCCTGTGAAATTCTAAAAATATCGTAGTAGAAGAAAATTTTCAATAGCTGCCTAGCTTTTCACAAAAGCTAATAATATTTACTTTTCACAAAAACTATTTTAACCACTAAACTGTACTCCTACAAACTATATTGCCAAGCACAAAAGCTAGTAATATTTTTACGAGTACTAAGTAATGGTTTGAATAAGTCAAACCACTAAAAGTTTTACTCAAAAGCTAGTTCTGAATTGAACACGTCATGTATCTATAGCCCTATTAGTTGTGAATTAATGCAAACCAATGATGTATATATGTTCCAAATTTTCAATATCCAATCAAATGAAACGTTTTTACTTATTATTATTATTATATCTAATAAACTTGCAATAATTTTCTTATGATTTCAACTTAATTATATATTATAATTTAAGCATAATTTCAATGGTGATGTGAGCATTGTTATTTTTGTTATCGTCGTTGGAACCGGCGGGCACCACAAAGGAACTAATTAAGCAACAATTCTTTAATTTGTTCAATTTCAATTTTGGAAGAAGATTATTTTTAATATCTTTATGGACCCAAATTACATACCATACTCATAGATTTTAATATGTACGATAAAAGTACATGTGCATAACTAAAAGGCAAATTAAAGTTGTTACGTTGAAAATTAGTCCCATATCATTTGAACTACTCACCAATGATAATACAGTTTAATGGTGATGATATGACTAAACTAGGGAAATCTAATGATCTCCCGTCAAAATTAGTGATTAATGACAGCCACATGACATGATAATGATGCAATCCAAGAATTTACATCAGTTTAGTCATAATTAAGCTATATTGGATGCTAATGTAGAGATCATATATCAAGTTTCATGTACAAACCTCTTTTTGTGTCCCTCGCTCTATAGTCTATACACGCAGTCATGCATCATATTGTGTATTCGATATTAGACTATGGGCTCTTTGACACTTTCTATTAAAAAAATGTTTGTTAATTAATTATGTGATATATTTCCTATTGGTATTTTGTAATAAGGAATTGTTTTCTTGATCTATATTCATATTATTAAGAGAATAATGAGCGTTCAATTAAACAATTGGGGAAGATTTTTTTTATTTTTTTTTTTTAATTTTAACGGGGATATATACTCTATTCTTTAATATTCATACTGTTTAAAACTTTGATACTCTGCATATATACAACACCCCTAAACAACAATAGATGCAAGGTACATTACATACTACTCCGTACGTAAGATCTAAAAGCTATTGGCCTATTGCATATGCAAGTTGATGCGCCCATAGTAACCAGAAACCAACTATGGTGGAAATACTTAGGCCCTACATGCATATGGTTAATGGTTATATATATATATATGCACCCATTTATATATAGATTAGATTATATTATTAATAATAATTCCAATATTATATTATGATATTAATACAATTAAATATGCCCACATGTACTTAGAAACGCCCATACACCCTCCAACTCATTACAGCATTTTATCAACTTTAGAATATGGTGTTAATTCAAAATTAAAGCTATTATAAGTAATGGAATATGTCAAAAAAGGGAGTAAGTAAGTGAGGGTGAAAGATAAGAACGTTTTCATTCCTAAAAAGTTAAGTTCTTGCGGAATTTAATCTCACGACCTTACAATCATGAAACTATATATATCCTTATTACGGAGTACTAAACTAGGGTCTAAGGACAATACATGCACGGTGGTATGTATGACAGGCTAATGATCCCTCTACTCACCACCTATACTAGCATATGAATTTGTATATATACATATTACAGTTTTAATTGAGAGAAGATTTTCCTAACTTCGTTTTCTCTTTCTTAATAATTTATATACATATATATCTAGTATACAGTACACTAGCTAGTTGTTTAACCACCTATAAGTCATCATCTCAATTCAAATTCATTTGCCTTGTTTTTCATTTGTAACTAATTAATATTTTTTCTTTTGCTCCTATACCACACTAACAAACTAAAAATTTAAACTAGTAATAGAGTTAGGTAATTTATTTTATATGTGAAATTGGATTGGAAATAAACTAAAGTATCACGACGAACAAAGGATGGAGAGAGCACCACTGATCCACTGCACCTTAATTAATTACTTTCTTCCATTGACAAATTCAAAAATAAGAAGCTAATCCTTGCTTAGCTTTTTGGAAACTAATTGACATTATTAACCTAAATTATTAAGTGTTTGGTGAAAAAATGTCAAATTTGTTTGACAAGGTCGTTCAAATTGGTCTTGCTTATTGCTTATTTTTTTATACTTAGTACTATTAAGTTATAATTATCATCCCTTTTATAGAGCTTAATTTATGTTGAACATATATTATTATATCATTCATGATATTTAATTTATAAGCTGCCTCCTTTTTATGATATGCCTAGTTGACAAACATTATCCAATCAAATTAAAGCTAAGCACTTATACTTGGGTTGGAATTGTAGCACAAATTTTTTGTTGTTCACATTTGCTTTACAGATATTAGATTTAGGTACTCACTTCATAATTACGTTGTGACTTGTTTTCTTTATATTTTTTTGCTTTTGAGTATATATCTAAGTGATATTGTTGAGCATCAGCTGCATCCATATATGTGAATTCTCACACATTGATCTTCTAGGGGAAAAAAAAGTTTATTTTACAAGTTAGAGAAGTTACTTTTATTATCGTGAGCTTGGACTTGTTACCAAAGATGTAACAAATGCGACATCATTTATCAAATTATCGTTTAGTGACACCTGACTTATTGCATGCTTTCTATTTTTTATCATGAAAAATAAATATATATACCTCGTACAAACATTAATTTATTATTAGATGATTTCATTATTGAATTAAGGTAATTGTTGAATGTATAATAAACAAATGTTAAGTTATACTCCATAAATCTTATTAATCAAACTTTTGTTTTCTCATTTGCACCAAAAAAATGAAGGTGTAAATGCAAAGACAAAAGAAAAGAGTGCCCATTATTAGAGTATTGATTCTGAGTCCTGAAATGCCTTCCATTATTTCTCTTTAAATAAAATATGAAATATAAAAACACTAAACCAGATTTGGTTTGACTAATTAAATGATTTAAATAATATCATTAGTGATTTTACAACTTAAGTTGCATGGATAGTTGACGTAACCCACTAAACGTAGCGAACCTAACTATATGATTAGTCCGAGATATAAAATATAATTATAAACTTCGTAATTAATTTGGATGTTCCAATAGTATGTCACCATGTAATCGAATTAACAATGTCGAATCTTTTCAAATCTCTCCACATTAATAATAAGGTATCAATTCTCTTAGTATATATGTATAATAAGGTATAGTATTAATAAAATACTTAATTTAAGGTTTTAATAATTATTAGTGTACTTAATTAGAAGATCATGCGCAACCAATACGTATTTAATATTAATTAATCAAAACTTTGATAGATGATGGTAGCTAGTCTATTACATATATAGTAGTCTACATGAGAGTTAAAATTTGGAGGGAGAAAGAATGAACGTGCTATAAGTCTATTGAATCAACCTATGATACGATGTATTCAATATTATTATCCTTAAATTAACAACTATTGAATGGTTGTAGTATTCTTGTAATGGTCCATTAATTTGTAATTAATTGTAATGTTTAACAACAACTTATGTGAAATTTGTAACTATTGCAACTATTGCAAGAGACATGCCTTTCATTATTGTAGTGATTAATTAACATCATTCAATCATGCAACGACATATGTAAATGTATGCATGGAAGAAGGGGAGAAGATTTACTTTTGGTGTACGTAAATTGAGCCACTGAAATTTGATAGCAAGTCTTGAGTATCACCTTCAAGATCGACTCTTGACCAATTAAATTAGGTGTCACTCATAGAAAGAGAAATACGAGCTCCGTAATTACATCTTTTTCTACATCTTCCTAATTACTATGTATAAAAGTTATACACTAGCTAGTTCAAGGTAATAATATTTCTCAAATACATTATCCTAGAACATTAATTCACCATTATATTATGTTAACCTACATAATTGTAGGGATACATGTATGTACATGTATGTAAGAATTTACATTACTTTGTATGAAATTAATCTAAAAACTAAATGAGCTAAGGTGTATGATAAAGTTTAGAGCATATACTCTCTAATTGATGGATGTCAATTAACCTAGTTGACCTAAAAAATTTCATTTGAACACAACTACCCTTAAAGAGAAGAAACCTTTTTGAATTTCGTTAGTTGACCTATTTCTCCAAATAGTGGCACGAGTATTTCTTTTTTATTCATGCTTCACTGTGTCCATTAACAATATCTTTATACTACCTCTGTTAATAGTTATCTGCAACTTTTAAAAAAAAAACACTGCTTAATATCCATTCTTTTTAAGTAAATCTAAAAAGGTTATACCGTAAACTAAATCACTTTATATGCATGGATTAGCTCATGAGTGGTACGTTGGGTTAGAGCCCACCTCAAACAAGGTATTAGGATTTGGGCCAAAACGCAAACAGGCTTGCCTGAGTGGAGTTTATTATTCTATTCAAAATCTTCTTCCCCCTAAAGCTTTTGGATTGGGCTAAATTAATATAGCACCTCTGAAATTAAACCGATTTTTTTTAACCCCATCAAAGTGGAATAATTACATGCTAATTGAATTTGAGGGCTCATTCGTTTTTGTTTTTTTGTACTACCTCTGTCTCATATTATGTGTAACAAATGAGGTTTTAATTTATTTGTGAGTGTTGAATGGATAGAGAAAGATAGTGATGTATGTGATGAGAAGATGACTCCACTTTTATAAATTAGGAATTACTCATAAATTACTATTGTAACCTCTATTGAATACGACATATCAATTTATCATTCAATTTGGTAATTTAGTACTTGTATATTGGTGTTTGTTTGTCACTTTGGACAATTTAGAGGAAAAAATTTATTGGCTTATTTGAGGATTGTTGCTTCTTTTGTTCATTATTAAACGAAATTGTTCGTGAAAATGTCAAAATGTTACGTGCAATCTATTGATGCGGAATTATATTCGTCATCATAACTCATAAATACAAATTGCCACATGTTTGGTCACTCCAAAGGAAAGAAATCATATCTTCATGAAATTCTAACCTTAGATATTGGATACCTTTGTTTTTTTAAGAAAGAAAAAAAGTAATTTGAGATGTAGACAAAAATGAAATGATGCAAAAAAATGTGGCGGAAGTAAACATGAAACTAATTTGTAGGTAGATTTGGGTGTTGGGTGAAGTCTAACTATCAAATTTGGCCATTTGGGAAAATATTTTAGATTTATAATTAATAAAATTCCTAAAATTAGTAAGTCATAAAGAAGAAGATCAATATAGATTAAGCATAAAAAAGGAAATATAAAAGCATAGTAACGCGTTAGTGATTACGTACCCAATTGTGAGACAACTTTCCGTGAAAGTCACCAATCATCCTTACGTGGCAAAGGATAAGGTGGCTGTTACTTGGTGAAGAATCACCAGCATGTTAGATTCTAGATGACATCTGATATAAAATGCCCTTTTTCTTTTAAAAGAAGAAGATGATTGGTTTGGTGAAGCGAGTTTATCCGACTTGTTCTTTCTCTTTGTTCTTTTTGCTTACGCGTATTCCACGTACTTTTCTTGGTTCCCGCCATCCTACCTGTCATTTTACTTCCCCACGTGCCACATCATTGTATTATTATTTTATGGAATACCAGTACTGAATAATAATAATAATACTTCGTACTGTAATACTCGTAATGAAATACGTAACCCTAACCTCACAAACCTACATATAATAAGCTAAAATAGTTGAAGAAAATAAAACATTAATATACTCACAAATAGATATATATAATGCGAAGTGTATTGTTAGAATATTAGGAAAATCATCTCGTATTTGATATATTTCATGTTGATAATCTTGATATATATGAAGTAATATGGAGTTTGTGTACTTTAGTAAACAATATTTTAGGACACCTAATTGTATAATATATTTTAATATAATCTTCCAACACCAACCTTCAACTTGCACAAATGGAAGATCTTCACCGTACAATACTTGTACCTTATTAAAGGAGTATTAATAATGGGGAAAAATACCACATATTTTATGTATTATATATACAAGTGTCTATACATAAAATATGGTCGACAAAAGTGCTCCAATACGCTATAATTTTATGATAGAATAGTATGTTATTTTATACGGTAATTACTAAATCCAACTCTTATCCTAAGGGGAAAAAAAGGACAAAAAAAAAGAACAAAAAGAAAAGAAAATGATGGTTGAGAAGACCCAAATAAAACAACAACAAAAAAATTAAAAAAAAAAAATGAAAAAAAAAAAACTTTGGTCTCACGAGTTGTTTTCCTTAGGGCCGTTACCAAGTAAACAAGTCCCTTTTCCCTCTAAAACTATTCAACCTAATGACATGAGAATGTAATAAATATAAATAGCTTTCTTAGACTAAATCCCACCCCCAAATTCATAATCTTTTTTTCTTCATTCATCTTTTTTAATTCTCCACAAACTTCTTCACTAATCCACCATTTTCATCATCATTTCTCAAATTTCTTCATTAATTTTCCAAATCCAACATTATTCCCCAAAAAAAAATACATAAAGACTCAATCTTTCATTGCATAGATTGATAGATTACACCATTTTCTACCCCCCACCCCCCCCCCCAAAAAAAAAAAAAACAGAGCATTTTCCTCTGTTTTTCTTCCTCTATTTTAGTACAATTTGGTTGAAAAGATGGCAATTTGGTCAGGAAAAGGATCAACAACAAAGAAATTCCAAGTAAAATTGAAGGGATTTAAGCTTGAAGGATTACCAATTTTAGAAAAAGAAAGAGTAAAAATGGCAATTGAAGTGATTTGGGAAGGAGCTCAAAAGTCTGGATTTTCTTCATTATACAAGAAATCTCATCAAAATCGAACTGAATTTTCCAATGAAATTGAGCTTCTGAAATTAGGTGAACCCATTGAATGGAGCAATGAATTCGATCATATTTGCAGTTTTTCAATCAATTCTAAGGACCCCACTTCATTTGCTCCTTGGATTGTTTCATTCCACATACTTTCGGTAAGTTTTTGAGTTGCTCTGTTTTTTTAATGAACATAATTAATTATTTGATAGTTTCATGTGTTACGATCATTTTATTTGATTAATTTGGTGAGTTTAGGTGTTTACATTTTTGGGGTTACTTGCAATATATTTACCAATAATTTTACTCTTTCTCTCAACTGCTTTTGTTAAGCATGTTTATATGTATGCAAATATAAAATTGGATTCTTCTTGATTTGAGAAAAAGGGGTGGATTCATTTTTGTGAATTGTTTGTTTGTTTTTATCCCCCAATTTAGTTGGAAATATTTTCTAAGATTTCATTTTTATATTTAAATACTTTCCCGTGTTTAAAAAGCATTGTAGCATATATTTTATACTTCGTATTTTGATAAATTAAATACTCCGTACAATTTTATGATTGTGTTAATTTGGCGTAATTATGAATGTTGAATGATATAATTATATTACCTTGGCTAATTTTACAGGGGAAGAGTGAAGAAACGTCATCATCATCAATAACATCATCAAGCGGTAAAATGCAAGTAATAGGGAAGACAAAATTAAATTTAGGAGAATTAGCTTCTAATAAGGAGGCGCAAATTCAGCAAAATTTACCCATTTCCTTAGAATTGGATGGAGTTTCCATGGAACCTTCTCTTCAAGTAAGCAACATTATTATCATTTTCCTTAGTTTGCCTTTTATCATACAAAGTATTAATGATTACTAATTATACACTTTATCTTGCTAGAAATGGCTTGGACATGTAAAAGTTAGAGAATCGAATGCTCATATGCTCGTTTTGTCTAAAATTAATAATGTGACAACTGAATACAGATAGAGCTAGTAAAAGTTTACTTAAAATGGAATCAGAATCTTATGAATACTGTTAAGATTATTTTTGCGAACTTTTCATTTTTCTTATATGTATAGAAAAGACTTGATAAAAAAAGGAATTCAACCCAAAAAAAACTTAAGAAAGACAAGAATGAAGGAAAAGGTTAGCATAGATTCTGTATAGTAGACCAATATTTAAGATTTAGTATAATTTCATGTGATCATAGTTGTCTGGTCAATGATTTCCATTGCAATAAGCCAACCTCAATTGACGAATTCTTTGTACTCGATCAATCAACATCTTCTGCCCTAAGTTATTATATAACTTTCTTGTCAAACTTTGTTATAAACTTATAATATATCGTGATACCAATGTGTTTGTTTTATTGGTATGAATACGAGTATATCCTTGTGCTATTAATCGAATAAAAATACTTTAATAAGGCCAATTTGATTAAGTAATCATCATTTTGTTAGTGAGTCAAATACAAAATTAACATTATAGTTTTATAATCCTTGTCTAGAAACCAAGATGATTAAACGACTAAAATTAAACCAAAAAGTTACACGTCTCTTGAGCAAGAGAAAAAGGCAGAACATAAAATTATTATTGTTCTACCTCAATTTATTTAATTATTTTTAAAGGTTGACTTTACTCATCAAAGTACATTGAAATTTGTCATATATACAAGTACTTGTCAAACTATGTACGTACGGTTTTTTTTTATTTTTTATTTTAATTATAATGTGAAAATGTCATACATAACCTTATTTTAATTGGTAAGGTCATTGTCTAGACTATTTTTTAAATTGTTTTCGGTTGTTGTTACAATGTCTTAACTAAAAAATGAAGTAGTGAGGATCAGATAATTATGACTAACTACTTATAAATACAAGTTGTTTTTAGAAAAATTGATAACTTTCGATTTAATATTATATCATTGAATGTGTTATAAGTAGGGTTGCACATTGGTCCAAACTAGACCGGACCTGAATCAACAGGTTCGGTTTCGGTCCAGACCTGAAAAATTAGGTCGGTCCGGGTTTGGACCTGAATAGACCTGATTATTAATTTGTTCCTTTTTTTTTGTATATAAAAAACATGTTGGACCTGTTTAGACTTGATACGGACATGTTTAGACCTGATATAGACCTGTTGGGACCTGTTTGGACCTGCTAAATTAAACTAAAAAAAGCAGTTATACAGTTTCGGGTCCGACCCGGACTTGAAACCCGAAATCATGGGTTGTTAAAGACCGGTTCAGGTCGGTTTTAAGGTCCGATCCGGTCCAAACAAGTCTGGTTCAGGTCGTTTTTAGGTCTGGGCCAGTTTGTGTACACCCTAGTTATAAGTAGATGTAATTACTACAACATTAACTAAAAATATTAATGATTGAAATCATACATTCATGAACATAAAAATATTGCTACGGAATATTAAGAAAGAGTACGAGGAAAAATGATGAGTTCTCCTCAGCCAAAACTAACCTTGAAAATGCAATATTACACTAATGCAGGTAGTTGTGAGCTTGATAGAGATGAAAAACACCTCACACTCGCGCACATTATCTCACGACTCGTTCGGAATCGTACAAAACTTGAGTGACCAAGCGAGTTTGCTAAGGAGATTCAATAGTCAAGGGGCTTCATTAACACAAGAGAAGGCTAAGAAAAACAAGCCTAGGCTATTTGGGAAGCAACTTAGTTTGAAGAACTCGGGAGAGTCTTTAGCTACTACATTCAACTCCGAGAGTGAGTATGTGGTTGTAGCATCCAGCAGCAAAAGCGGCGATGAGTCAAACAATTCGATGACTGAGTCGAAGAGCTCGATGAGCTCGGAGACTCAGTTGGACTTGGTGAAGAAAGGAGGGTTTTGGAAATGGAAGAGAAGAAAATCCATGAAGAAAGTTGATCCCAAGGCTGAATCTATTGTGGTATGTATACCTTTGCTTAAGCTATGTTTCATTACTTTCATATAATACAATGAATTTTGATAAATATGCATTTCGATCTTATGTTTCTACACACGAGTAAAAGAATAGAGTATATAGATATAGCAGGATATACGGTTAGTTGTCATAGTTAAATTTAGAAAGATTAATAGTCATATGATGAAATCGAAAAAAAGATTTTAATTCATCAAATGCACAAAATTTGAAAAATAAGGTTTAATTTGGTAGCAACAATATTGTCAATATATAGTACATGTCATTAATCATTATATCTACAACAAGAAAAACTAATCTACCTTTTAATAATCATTAGTCCATTTTTAGGAAAATGTCTTCCTCCTAAAAATAAACCTAATGAGGACTTAAGGAGTCTTTCAAAGACATTAAGTAGGGCCTTAATAATCAAAGTGCACACAACAAGAGTGAAAATGCTAATGGAGAGGGCCCCATCTATGCTTAAAAACACACAAACATCAATGTAGATGAGTCCCACAAATTTTGTTTTTGTAAAAGGGCATAGCATAAAATGTCATTGAACACAAAGGTTGGCAAAACAATCCAGTTTTTAGGGAGATTCATGCTTCCTCTTTTTTAAGGTTATGGGGTCATTTATGGATCCCACATTTTCTTTTTCTTTGTTAATTATTTTGATGTTTATCTTCCTTTGAGTGGAGGGTAGGGTTCATAATTCCATGGATATGCAATAATTTATACTACATCATGCTTTTGAACATTTGGAATCATAGTCTTTATATAGACATCCTTCCATATTAGTGTATGCTATACCACTAGCACCATCTTTGATGTGAGACCATCGAACTCTATTAGCCTTAGCGAATGGTCGATTCAAAACGACCTAGATTTTTTTCCTCCTTTGTATCTCATAATTCTTTATCAGTCCTTTACGTGCACGTTATTAAAAAATAAATTGTTTAAGACACGCGATGCACCTAACACCATAGTTGGTGGTGTTTTAGCTACTACACAAAGTTTAGGGTGCTCAGTGCACCTAAGCCATATTTCAGGATGTTGCGGCCAATTTTGCTTATAAAAAAATCTTTGCTATTGTGTGGCATATTGATGTGGATTCTTTGATGCAATAACAATTTAAACTTTTTGAGTCAATAATGCTACAATGAAATTATTTTGCAATTACATGAACAATTTATAAACTTATCTATGCACATCATTTTACAGGATGCTGATGCTGAGAAGTCTTGTAATCCTAGCAGTTGGGAAGAAAGGGAATTGGTGAGCAGAGATGGGAAAACAAAGCTCAAAGCCAGTGCATTTTTCGCCTCGTTTGACCAACGAAGTGAGAAGGCAGCAGGGGAGAGTGCATGCGCTGCAATTGTGGCAATCATCGCCCACTGGCTCCAACTCAACAGAGTCATGTCGTTGACAGGACCAGAGTTCGATCGCCTCATCACTGAGGGCTCCTTAGAGTGGAGAAAGCTTTGTAATGACGAATCAAACAACCCTGACCGCCATTTTGATCTTGAAACCATTATAAGCGCTGAACTCCGACCCCTTGCTGTCCTTTGGAACAATTCTCGATTTGGGTTCTTCCATCCTGAGGAGTTCGACCACTTAAAAGACGCTGCTTCCTTTGATGAAATTTGGAAAGAAATCAATACAGACGTACATGAGTTAGAGCCAAGAGTCTATATTGTGAGATGGAACGAACATTTCTTTATACTAAAGGTTGAGGCTAACGCGAACTACATCATTGACTCCCTAGGAGAGCGGCTTTATGAAGGGTGCAACCAAGCATATGTCCTAAAATTTGATGATTCAACATTAATGCTTGAGAAGAACGACGAGGAAAAGGAGGAGAAAGGCGAAGATATGGTGATTTGTAGAGGAAAGGAGTGTTGTAGGGAGTACATGAAGAGGTTTTTAGCCGCTATTCCGCTGAGAGAGCTGAAAGAAGAAGAGGCTAAGGGCAAAACAATTGATGTGTTTGCATTGTACAAGAGGCTACAGATTGATTTTCATCTGAGTTCTAACAATTCTTCTGCTGCTTCTACAGCTAATACTTCTATTACACCATCTCCTGATACCGAGCCTCACTTACTTGGTGATGGTGAATGTGTACAGATTTAGACTATAGTTTCATTGTGTATAAATGTTGTTATTACTTTGTTTTGGTTAGAAATTTAGTTTAGGATAAGAAAACCTCTTGGATGTGCTGGTGAGAAGTTCAATTCTGACCATTTTTCAATTGATTGAAAAGTTTTGTCCATACAATTGAGAATAATTAATTAAAAAAATAAATTACTCCCTTCATCCCTAAACATCTTCAGAAACTGTCTAGCAAACATGTCTGCGCTTTCAAATTAAAGTTCTTTTGACCTAATTTTCTACATTTTACAATATGAATCTTCATCGTCACTTAACCACAAACTCTAGATTTCTCTTACGAAAATCTATAGTCCAAGATACAAACTCGGAATTAAAAAGGAAAAAAACTTTAAACAGCTAACATGTTAGGTACCTAACACACTCGTCATAGATCCTCAGTCCTCACTCTTCAACAGCCACGGAATAGGAAAAAGATAGGGAGCAAAAGTATATTGATTAAGCTAATGAAACTTTAACCGATGTTGTTTCACTTTATAATAGCAGATTAACCTTAAGCCCACATAATTCCCAGCCTTGCCTCAAGTTAATGAAATCTTCCTCAACATAATGAAGTGTGAGGTGTGACTGATCAAAGGCACTTTGAGGGACCAATAATGTTATGTTTATGTTATGTTGTTGGTGGTGGTGGGTCATTATATTGTCCACTTTTGAGATGTTATCCACCATTTTTACTTGTTAACCAGATAAATTTCCCTGACCATATATTTGCTTCATTTTTTTTTTAACATATACTTTAGATTTTTATAAGATTTTAAACCCTTTTATTAACATTGGCTAGTCTATTCCAAACATCAAAAAAAGTTCAAACTTTTGGGCCACCCTCAAATTTACCTTGGAAAAATTTATCAATTTTTATTTTATTTTATTTATTTAAAGAGACTAGAAAAAGACATCTCTTTGCACCCCAAGCACACAAGCCAAACCACCCCATTCTTCCCCACAACAAAAAAAAGTCAATTAAACTCTCACAAATCTTTCTAAAAACCCCCTTTTTTTTAAATCCATCAATTTCTTAAGTTACACAAAAGTTCAGCTTATAATTTGTCTTTGCTTAATCTGTGCAACAACAACAAAAAAATATCCACCACCTGGCACTCTTATTCATCACACATGTCTTTAAAAATCAGAAATGAATTATATGGTCTAATGTTCACCAAGTGAAAAATCGACTCATACGACATTTTCTATTTTTCCAATTTAGCCAGAGGTCTCGGTTTCTTTCAAACCATGGAGCGTCATCTAGTTCAAATCTAGATTAGTCGGAATCTAATGGGTTGTGATCACATTTATATGTCAATACCAATAGTCCAAAATTTTCAACTTTCAACTGAGTTTTCGGATACAAATTACAAAAATGTATAGACTTGCTCAAATTGCAGAATAACATTATGGGCCAAAAAAATAGGCAGCAGTTAAGTTCGAGGTAATAATCAATGTTTGAGAATTGAAATTTGAAAGTCTGACTAAATCAAATGATATAAACTCATCAAAAGAGTGATGCAGCTGAAATCAACACATCTGTTACAACAGTTATGTACAAAATTCATGGTTTTTCAGAAGGGACTCATCCTAGCAAATGACACAGCTGAAACAACCCAAATGGGAAAGCATTCCGCAATATGAAACTACTACATTTTTTGATTTTTACATAAACAACGCCGACTGACCTGAAGTTCTCTACGCATCTACTAAAGGCGGGATAGCTACTAACTAACCTGTTGTACTTGTTCCTTCATTAGAGTAAGTTGGCAAGAACTTTGGCTCCCATGGATAACGCGGATCCTTCATTTGATCAACTGCCTTACGCTTCCTTACCATCAAATTTACATCCAAACTCTCATCTCTAGAACCAGCATTGTTCTTATGATAGAAGGAAAATCTCTCTATAGACTCATGCTTAGAACCCACAACACTTACTTTCTCTTGAAAACCATTAATTTGAGCATCTTTCTCCCCTTGCATTGAAGGAAATCCCAAACGAAGAGATAAATCACACTCATTATTAGGTGGGTTGATAGATATATTTGGTTGGCGACTCCAATTCATTGTACTATCCTCACTACACAAGGAAAAGTTTCGAGACATGTCAATTTCAGGGCGGTCATTGCTAACAGATCGTAAAGTAGAATGATCACCAAGCTTTAGTTGTGGCTCTATTGGTCGAGAGCAGGAACCATAATACAATGGATAAACAGCATATGATTGTGATGAAAATGAACCTTGACCAGGCAAGCAGTTTTGGCTAGAAAGGAAGGGTTCACTGTTTAAGCAACTTTTAACAGGAAGGACTAGATTTTGTGGCTCTTTTCCTCGAAAATTCGAGTAGTGAGGCACAAAGGATGAACTCGGCTTAGGATTTCCTTCGATTACATTGGATAAATCCGGATTCCTGGTCAAGTAACCTCTGGGGTGATTGTTTCTTTGGCTCCTTGAAGCCCTTCTAGGAAAACAACCTAAATGAAGAGCAGCTGCATAAAGATGAATCATATACTTAATTGCATAATTCGAGCAAAAATGCACATACACCTATCGGTCTTATAATCATCAAACCAAGAAAAGAAGCAGAAATTCTAAATTTTCACAGATTAAAAAAACCCAAGTCTACAACAGTACAACACTTTCATACAAAAATGAACCCTTATCATCCCAATAAAACTAATGCGAACTAGCTTAGTTGGTAAAGTCTCGGGAGTTGTACCATGACCTAGAATCGAATCTCGTTTATATCTCATCAACTTCAAATTACATGCTAAAATCATCAAAATAATCAACACCTAGTTGGTAAATTATGCAATTTTTCTCAAAGCTATCAACTTTCTTTTCTTCATATTCACCAAATTGAAAACAAGAAGAGAGAGAAAATACCTTCAATACAAGGCTGCAAAAACTCCCCAGTATCTTCAGAGCACTCTTCACGGCGGATTATGGTGTTAATTGCATCATTTGCTCGATCCCACAGTGTTTTTGGATCCATATACTCAGCCTTAAAATAACCCACATTGTAATTTTTAACCAAAAATTAAAGTTTGAATTCAACAAGAAAAAACAATTAAATAACCCTAATTGGGTGAAACATATAACAAGCTAAAAAGTAGTTACATTAATAACAAGAATCGACTCGTGATTTTGTCATAAATTTTAACGTCATAACTATACTTGCCCTAAAGAATACATACATCAAACCTGAAAAAATTACTAATTTTAATAAGTAATTAAAGAAAGGTTAAGGAAATGTGAACCTCAGAATTAGCTTTAGAGTAGATAATTTCCTCAGCTTTAAGAACAACAATGGGGAGTTTCTCTTGCCATTCTTTCTTCTTCTTTGTTGATGGACTATGAATCTCATTTGCAATCCTGAAAACCCCAATAAATTAAAAACAGGGGAATATCAGAAACAGAGGAATTAAAAACAGGGGAATATCAGAACAGAGGAATTAAAAACAGGGGATTTTGTTAGTTTTTAGAGAGAGAAAGTAAAGGGTTAGAGAGAGAGAGAGAGAAAAAAGACCTGAAAATTTCTTGAATAAGGGAGCCTCTAATGGGTTGGTGTCTTTCACTATGCCAAGCTCTTCTAACACACTCATAAGGCCTTGGACCTGGCCTTGGCATTTTGAAACAGGGGAGGAGAGAGAAAGAGAGGGAAGGAGAAGATGATGAAGTTAGGGAAGAAGGAGAGTAAGTTTGGTTAGTGAGTACTCTATTTTTCTTCAGTGAATGTTTTTGTGGGCTGAAATTTCTACTCTATGTGGTTGCTACTTTGCTAATGTGGGGGCACTTTGCAGGTTTCACAAAACTCACAAATAACTGAAATAAGTGAATAACAAATTAACAATGCCTTTTAGTTATTATAAATGTGTGAGAATTGAATTCAAATTCCAACTTTGCTAGGATTTCATCAAGCCTCACCCTAACTATGCAATTGGGTATGTTACTTGAAATCTTGAATATAGGGTATGTTACTCGAATATGGGTATGAGTGTCGAATGCACGTACACATCTGAGTATTCGATATGTCAAGGCTGATTATTTCAAAGATGAAAATATCGACTGGAGTAGAGTTGATGTATAATGATTTTTATTGTGCTTTAATAAGAATTGAATTTTTGAAAGATAAGTTTAAGAGTAATTTTTGTGGTGCAAGTTTGTAGTAAAAGAGGCTACTTTGCCAAAGGTTAACTATTACTTTATCTCAAGGTAATTTTTTTTACTACCTTCGGTTCAAATTACTCACAACTTTGAAATATTTTATGTCTCACAAATAATACCCCAAAGTTGCGAGAAGGTAGTATTATTATTTTTCGATTAGCTTTACATCCTTGTACAATAATTATTACATATCCGTCTTTTTTCAAAGTTCGACATAAACGTCTTAAACTTAACTTGAACTTGTGAACTGTCTTTACTCATAAAACTCCTTCCAATCACTAGGTCGCCTTTTTTCATGATTTGCTTTAATTTAGCAAAAGCAAAGAAGATTTAAACCCTATACCATTGCAAAGGTATGAATGTATGACACGAGGAATAAGGAAATCTAATGTGTCGTGAATTTAACATGATGAAAAAGTAAAAGTTAAAGACAATCACCGATTCACCGTATTAAAAGTAAATCTTATGAAGTCGTCATTAATTTTGGGTTCATAAAGCAAGTTTAAGCTATAGCTCAGCTCAAGCTCACATTATTCTCATCAAGCTAACCATTCTAAGCTCAAATGTGATTTTTCATGGAAAGGAAAAGTGGAAAACACAACCTTTTTTCTTTGCTTCATCCTTCTTCCACTTTCTTCCTTTAACTATAATAAGTAGATATCATTCGCATTCGTGTGGCCTAGAGAAATTTAAGTCCTTTGATCACCAATAAACATTGACTCAAACATCATGATTTTTAAGTTATACATGTTTACAGTTTTGGTACATCTTCTGTCATCTACCCCAACTACGATTTACTTGGTCATTCTAGGATAATAAATGATCTCTTATCTTCATGTTTACAAATCTACAATGCATCAATTATTTGTACGACTCCACAAACAAGTACTCCAAATTGTGTACTAAATAATTAGTTTAAGCAATGAAAATCAAAATGAAGTTAGTAAAAACAAGTTAGATGAACGTGAAATTATGTCAAATCTCGTGACACTAAATTGAATTGTCCAAAAAAAAAAAAAAAAATCTATGAAAGGGATTAGAAACGGACAAATCAATAGCGTTATCATTCCAACTAAATACACTTGTAGTAAGGAATCACTTTCTATCACATGCATTTTAGATATTACGGAGTGCTACTTAAGAGGGACTACTATTCTAAGAAAGATTAGCCCAATCCAGATTTAACGCGTGTACCAATTCAAATATATGTACCAATTCTAAATCAACCATTTTCTTAAGTGAATCACTTTCATTTGAAATGAACTTAGTCAAGTTACTCCACAATAGAAACACATAAAAAGCTGTGAGATTATGTCAAATATCGTGAAACCTAAGTAAATATGTCTCTCAAAATAACACATGCTATGAAAGGGATTAGAAACGGGAAAAAAAATAATTAAGATTGTATCATTCTAAACTACATACTGTACACATGTATCAAATTAAGGAATCATTTTGTACCACATATATGTAAGATATTATAACTTACAAGGGACTGTTATTCTGAAAGAGGTCAGACCGATTCAGACTGATGCGTATAGTACCAATCCAAATATATATAGTGAAAGGGAAAAAGTAATAGTGACATGATAAAAAAGAAAAGGAGAGGGATGTATCAAGGCAAGGATTTATAATATTGAGAGGTCCAAAAAATTTCAAACTTTATTTTAATGTACATTCACTTGTCAATAATTCAAAGTAAGAAGAAGAAGAATAAGGAGTAAATTGATTGGGAGGGTTAGGTGTGTCCCCCACAAAGCCACATGCCTGCTTCCCCCAAACCCAAAGGCAGTTTAGACCCACCCGAGACCCGACTTTCTCAAATAAAAACCCATATTTTGGAATGGTGGACCGCCCATTTTCTCATCAACTGTGCTCTTGTCATTGTCGGTTTACCGGCACTTGGGCCTTCTTTGTAGGAGCTAACCCCAGCCTAAGGTTCTTATCATTTACTGTATATTAACTAGGGCTGGCAAAAGCTGACCCGACCCGACAACCCGACCCGAACCCAACCCGAAATAAATGGGTTTTGATAGAGATTTTCAACCCGTTTATGTAATTGGGTCAACCCGAACCCGACCTGAAGTTAAACGGGTCGGGTTCAGGTTGAAAATCCCAACCCGAAACCAACCCGCATAAACCCGTTTATTTAATTGGGTCGGTTTCAGGTCGGGTCAACCCGAACCCAACCCGCTTAACTTAAAACACTAATTTAAAAATATGGGCCAAGCCCAAATTATCTAACCCTAAGCTTTTCCTCTTTCACTCGCCGCTTTCTTTCAGACTTTCACTCAAACTCTCTTTCTTCTCAGTTTCTCTCTCTTCTCTCCTCTCTTTTCTCTCTCTAACTCTTGAAGATTGAAATAAAAATTCTTGAACCTTGAAGATTGAAGCTTCATCTCAAACATTCTGAAGGTAATAATCCTATTATTCGATTTTTTATGAGTTTGTTTGCTCATGAGTCATTTGTTTATGCAATTTCCTTGATTTGGTTATGCAATTTTCAGATTTCTTTGATTTTTTAAGCGATTTTTTGCTATTATGGTTTATGTATGCTTTGTTTATGTGATTTAATCATTTAATGTTGTTCGTTTGTTATTTTCTTACTCTGCAATTTCTTTCGAAGATTTGATTTGTTATTTACTTATTTTGCGATTATTTGCGATTTGTTTATGCGATTTTTTGCCCTGATTTGATTTTCTTACTCTGCAATTTCATGAGTTTGATTCTTTATGTCATGACTCATGAGTTTATACTTCTGTTTTTCATGTTTATACTTCGGATATGAGTGTAATTCTTTCTTTAATTTATTCACAGATGGCTAATAGCCCTAATCCTGATGAACCCATTGATCTTCCGGATTCTGATTCAGATGATGAAGTTTCTGATTCTCATCAAACGGAATCAAAGAAGAAAACCTCTAATGTCACCTCGCTGAATAAGCCTGGAATTCATTTCAAGCGCCAACGAAAGCTCACTTCAGATGTGTGGGCAAATTTTGAATTCCTTGATAAACCTGACGAACAAGGTAACATCATTTGCATGTGTAAAAAATGTGGGCAGAAATATAATGCTGAAAGTAGGCAAGGAACTGGTAATTTAAAACGCCACATTAAGAAATGTAAAAAAAGGACCTTTAAAGATGTGGGTCAGATGATTATTGATTCAAGCAGTTCTGGTTCTATGATGAATAGGGTTCCTACAATTGATTATGATATTGTTCGTGAGATGTTGTCTATTGCTGTGGTGAAACATGATTTGCCTTTTCAGTTTGCTGAATATAGTGCTGTTAGGAAGTTGATTAATTACATAAATCCTGATGTTAAACTTGTGTCTCGAAATACTTTGAAGGCTGATGTTCTGAAAATGTTTAAGAGGGAAAAAGATAAACTTAAGGAGGAGTTGAGTGTAGTTAAGGGTAGGATTTCTCTTACATCTGATTGTTGGACTTCAATTACTACTGATGGTTACATGTCTTTGACTGCCCATTTTGTTGATAATCAATGGAATTTGCAAAAAAAAATTCTGAACTTTCGTTTTTTGCCTCCACCTCATACCGGTGTCCATATGTCTGACCATGTCTATGATTTTCTTAAAGAGTGGGGTATCCAAAAGAAAATCATGTGTATTACTCTTGATAATGCTTCCTCTAATGATGTGTTTGCTGATGTAATTAAAAATGAACTTGATTTGGTATGTGGGGGGGATTATTTCCATGTGAGGTGTTGTGCACATATCCTAAATTTAATTGTGCAAGATGGGTTAAAAGAAATTAATGAGGCTGTTGTTAAGGTGAGAGAAACTGTGAAGTATTGTAAAGGGTCTCAGGCTAGAAAGCAACGTTTTTTGACTTGTGTGGCACATGTTGAACTAGACTCAAGTAGAGGATTGAGACAAGATGTCCCTACTAGATGGAATTCAACTTATTTGATGTTAGAGAATGTTTTGTACTACAAAAAAGCTTTTCTTCATTTTCAAAAGGTTGATGCCAATTACATTCATTGTCCAACAAATGAGGAGTGGGGGAGAATAGAGAAGTTATTTAGATTTTTGAAGGTCTTTTTTGATGTGACAAATGTTTTTTCGGGTACTAATTATCCTACCGCTAATGTATACTTCCCAAATGTGTTGAAAATCCGTTTACTCTTGAAAGAGGAGCTTGAAAATTCTGATAACTTCATGCATAAGATGGCAGCAAGAATGAATGAGAAATTTGCTAAATATTGGACCAACTTTAGCATAATCATGGCTGTGGCTGTTGTTTTAGACCCTCGATTTAAGTATGAGTTTGTGGAGTGGGCTTTTAAGAAGGTGTATGGGGAAATAGAGGGTACTAATGAGTTGGTGAAGTTCAAGGAAAGGTTGGATTATTTATATGGTGTTTATGTGACTGAGGCTTCCACAACAACACCACGAACAAGGCGTCGTTCTTCTAGACAGCCTAATGAAGAGCAAGTTGATGTTGCTTCTGATTCTTTTATGATGGTAACTGTGAACACTTGCTTTTTGTTTGATAATCAGCTTTAAATTCTGTTTTTTGTATGCTTTATTGTAATTTTTGTTTAAACATCTTTTAGGACTTTGATAACTTCTCTTCTAGCAAATCATATGTTGCTGCTAAATCTGACTTGCAAATCTACTTGGAAG